TTTATATATAAAATGAGGGGATTGGATTTAATGACCTCTAAAAGATCCATTCCAATTCTAAGCCATTGACAGCTTCCTTTCCCTGTCTCCCTTCCAGTTAAGGAAATAGTCATCATCAACTGCCCAACTCATCTGAGCATCTCCTCCCTTTCAGCAAGGGGAGAAGTTAAAGTAAAATTAGAATCACTAATAAACTATGCTTATATCTTCCATCATGTCTTATCAAGACTGTTGATGACTACAAACCTAGTCATTTTATAGATGAGGAAACTGAGGCCCAAAGAAGTTAATATAGATATGTGCAAAATAAGTTTAAAGTGATTTCTTTACATTTCTTTTACATCTTATTATTTTTAATTTTATGGTTATATTTTATACCACCTTTATTTCTGAATATAGTCTTCTTCCTCTACCCAATGAGTTATCTATTATAACAATGAATTAAAAAGTAGTTTAGTAAACCAACCCTTATATAATTGAGTCTAGTAGTACATTCAATATTTTATATCCATAGCCCCCCACCTATGCATCCCCCGCATATGCAAAATACAAAGGGATTTTTGAGGGGCACTAACAGTGGAGGGAATCAAGATAGGTCTCTTAAAGGAGATGACATTTGAATTGAGCCTTGAAGAAGTTTCTGGAGGCAGAAATGAGGAAGGAGCACATTCCAGGTATATGGAACCCTCTGGGCAAAGATGTGGAGGTGGGAGATAGAACATCATGTATAAAAACAGCAAATAGGACAGTTTGACTAGAATATAGAATGCATGAATGAGACCAAAGTATAATCAGACTGGAAAATAGACTGGAGCTAGATTGTGAAGGACTTTTAAATGTCAGAATAATGTGTATTTTGTAATAGAGAAAATAAGGATGGTGGGGGGTGGGCAGGGAGAATAATGGGATGGTGGAGTGACATGGTCAGACCTGCTCTTTAGGAAAATCATTTTGGAAGCTTTGAAGAGGATGGGCTGGAAAGGGAAAAGACTGGATTCAGGGAGACCAATTAGAAGGTTCCCGCAATTGTCCAGTAAGGAGTGATGAGGGCCTAAACTGGAAAGGTTGTGCTGTGAATAGAGAGAAGACAGAGGCAAGAGATGTTAAGGAGGTAGAATTGACAAGATTTGGCCACTGTTTGGGTAAGGGGCAGGGAAAGGGGAGCCAAGTCACATGCTTTCATTTCTATTCCTTTCAACTAGGGTTCAGATCTGCTCAGCTATGCCCTCTTGAGGACTGGAAGTGACATTGTAATTTCTACTTTTCAAGCTTTTAACAAATTAATGAAGGTTTTCTCTTTTTCCAAGGAAGGACTCAGTATCAAAACTAGAGAATCCTGCCCTATTCACAATAGAGAACCATTTCTGTCTGTGATCCGTTGAAGACCACTCTTTCCCGGGACTTATTTTCCTGGCTGAAGCCAAGTCAGGCACTGTTTATTCTAAATACCCTGCCACCAGCAACAACCACCGAGTTTAAAATATCTAAAAGGTAATTCGGTGTCGTGGTTCATAATGATATTGCTAAGGATGGTGTGTGGCCAAGACTTTTAAGAAATGCCTTGTACTGGTGGGTTCATGATTCTAATCATCAAGTCTACCAAATCATGGCTAAACAGGCGAGCTTCTAAGATTTTTGTTATTGTCTTTAAACATTACAATATGATCTACATAATATGCAAAGTATACTTATGGTATTAACACAACCATTTCCAAAGAATTAAAATGACACTCTCAAAGACAATAGAAACACGGTGGGCATAAGCAGGCTGCAACTTGTTAGTAACATGTAACAACTGACATGACTAGATGAAAGAAATGTCATGCTAGACATTATTAAGGATATGTCTGGTTGGAAAAGGAGATAAGCTAATAAAGTTGTGACAAAAGTGTCCAGACAAGCAACTAGAATGAGATAGTACTATCTCTAAGATTTGTAGTTTATTGTTTAGTCCTGTCTGACTCTTTATGACCCCATTTAGAATTTTCTTGGCAAAGCTACTGGAGTAGTCTGCCATTTCCTTCTGTAGCTCATTTTACAGGTGAGGAAAATGAGGCAAACAGAGTTAAGTGATTTGCCTAAGGTCACACAGCTAATAAGTATCTGAGGCTGGATTTGAACTTAGAAGGATGAGTCTTCTTGACTCCAGGCAGGGTACTCTGTCCACTGGGCCACCTAGATGCTTCATCCTTCAAGATACTAAATAACAAAAGAAAGGTTTCAAGTGCTTGGGTAGATCCTCTGTAGAAAATGAGAAAACACAGAGAAGAACACCCATAAGAAGAGAAGGCTTAATGAGTGTCATACCCTGATAAAACTATGAATCTTTCAAGGATCAAGGCAGAATGTTAACAATTTTTAAAATATATATGTATATTTTATTTTCCCCAATTACATGTAAAAACATTTTTTAACATTTGAGTTTTTTTAAGTTTGGAGTTCCAAATTCTATCCCTTCCTTCTTCTCTTCTTCCCCTCTCCCCTCCCTGAGATAGTAAACAATAGAACATAGGTTATACTTGTGCAATCATGTAAAACATTTCCACACAGTCATTTTGTATAAGAAGACTCGAGTAAAAGGAAAAGAATGAAAGAAAGAAAGTGAAAAATAGTATGCTTCAGTCTGTATTCAAACACTATCAACTCTTTCTCTGGAGGTAGATAGTATGCTTCATCATTAGTGGTTTGGGAGAGTCTCGGATCATTGTATTGATAAGAATAGGTAAGTCATTCACAAATAAACACAATATTGCTGTTACTGTGTACAATATTATCCTGATTCTGTTCATTTCACTTTGCCATTAGTTCATATGTCATTCTGGATTTTTTTTCTGAAATCATCCTGCTTGTTATTTCTTATAGCACAATAATATTCCATCACAATCATATACCATTCCCCGATTGATGGGCATCCCTTTGGTTTCCAATTCTTTTTTTTATAATGTCATTAAAATGAAATTTATTATATTTTGAGATGGGAAACATTTCATTATTGACATAGATATTATTTCTTAATCAGCTTCCTTGTGCAGTCTGATCAGCAGTATGTTAGAGCAATGCTAAAAATTAATACAAAGCTAAAAGAAAGGATAAAAATTAGAAAAAAAAGTTAGGTCATATAATTAAAACAACTTCGACTTGTCCTATTAAACATGCTCTATTAAATCAATAGATGACACAAAGTGGAAAATTAATGGAGGAAAGGACATTGGCATTGGTAATCACAACTTCATACAGAAGTTTAACTAATGCAAATGAATTTCCATAGTGAGACCAAAAGAGCATAAATGTTATCTTATCAATTAATCAATCATTAAGAATTTTTAAAGTACCAGGCACAGTATTATACATAGAAGACATAAGGGGGAAAGTGGAAAAGTCTCTGCTTTCAAGGAACTTACATCATATCAAAAGAGACATCATATATAGCCTTTATAGGCCTTCAGGGTCCTCATTGCCTCTCATAGATAAACTGGAGTCTCAAGGCAGGTGACATATCCTCTTCAGGGTTATAGAAGGTTATAGAACCTACTAAAGAGTTGGGGTATCTTTTGCTAATGCTATCAGCTTAAGTCCATCTTCTGGTGTGTTCTCCCCATTGTCAACCATCAGTGATTGGGCATTCCAGTTTCATTTACCCAATTAAAATTAATCAGGCTATATTGAGGGATATTTACTTTTAAGATATAGAAAGAACAAAAGTTATAAAATATTTATCCTTAGTATCAGGGCTGATTTCTAATTCTTAGCCACCACAAAAAAAGCTGCTATAAATATTTTTGTACAAATAGGTCCTCCACCCCACTTTTATATTTTAGGGATATAGACCTAGCAGTGGTATTACTAGATCAAAGGGTATGCAGAGTTTTATAGTCCTTTGGGCATAGTTCCAAATTGCTCTTCAGAATGGTTGGATCAGTTCACAACTCTACCAAAAGTGCATTAGTGTCCTGGTTTCCCCCTCCAATAGCTATCATTTTCCTTTTTTGTCACATTTGCCAATCTAATAGGTGTGAGATGGTACCTCAGAGTTGTTTTAATTTGCATTCTTCTAATCAATAGTGATTTAGAGAATTTTTCATATGACTATATGTATCTTTGATTATTTTGTCTGAAAACTGCCTGTTTATATCCTTTGAATTTTTATCAACTTGGAAATAACTTGCATTTTTATAAATTTAGCTCAATTCCCTCTATGGGGCCTTTATCAGAGATATTCCTGCAAAAAAAAAATTTCCCCAGTTTTTTCTTTCCTTTTACTTTTGGTTGTATTGGTTTTGTTTGTTCAAAAACTTTTAAATTTTGCATAATAAAATTATCTATTTTACATTTTGCAATGCTCTCTATATTTTCTTTGATCCGAAATGTAACAAATAAACTATTCTATGCTCTTCTGATTTGCTTATGGTATTACCCTTTATGTGCAAATCATGTGCCCATTTTTACCTTATCTTGATATATGGTGTAAGATATTGGTCTATACCTAGTTTCTGCCATACTGCTTTACATTTTTAAAATATTAACAATTTAAAGAATACTTTGTGTTTATGAAGTGATTTACATACATTAATGTAAATATTATTATCCCCATTTCACAAGTGGAGAAACTTAAACTCATAAAGAGTGACTTGCCTGTGTAGTAAATGGTACAAGCGATACTTAGACACTAATGTTCTGATCAATCTCAAGTCCAGTGTTCTTGCTACTATTCTACAATACCTATTTTTTAAGTTGGTTTTTATCCTCTGCCAAAAGAACCTCACATATATACCCCAATTCTACTTTTACTGATAGGAACATTATCTTTGTACCTAGGTGACTGAATAAAAGGAACCATGTACATTATAATCTATTAACATATGAAACTTTATTAAATGGAGTATTAGAAAGAAAAAACTAATCTTTTATACTTAGAGTTCCATCAAAATTAAATCAAATGATAAGGAATAATATATCAAAATAATTTGCTTAATCTAATGTAGAAAAACTTGTGAAAGTTATTACACACAAAAAAAGACATTTATTATTGGAATTATTATAATTTCCACTGTTAAGTAATTTCACTGCATTCATATAATTTGCTTGTGAACACCATGCTATCACATTACTTATCGGAATACACTATATCATTTTTTTTTGCTCTTGATTAAGTAGTACTGAGATGAGGATAATTGAGGTTCCCTGATTGTCATTAGATATTCATTTAGTCAAGAACAGAGCTCATAGTTATTCAGGTACTGTTAAGCTTTTTGGTGTTATTATAACTATATTAAATTACCCTTCTCTCTGCTTCTAACCCTAACCCCTAGATGCAAAAGAATATGCATAAAAGATCCCTCCACCAAGATTTATATTTAAGTATTCCTTAGTTACCCCCACATTTGCTTGATCTACCTTAACTTAGATATGCTACCAGTACACTTAACTACTTTGCCATGGGTTTCTTACCCTCAGTCAGTAATGATTTGTTAGCCTAGTGGTAAAGAATATTGCTTTTATCTGTCTTATTTATTCCCTAGTGATGGGGAATAAGGGACAGGGACTGTTCAATTAGTTAGGAAGCTAGTTGGGTCTATAAATTTCAATGCTAATCTACAAGGCTGTTTAAATAAAAGCTTTTAAAAGTGAAAAAATGAATTATTTTAGAAAGTACTTTTAGGAAGTACTTTCTTTCTAGAAACGCTCTTCTCCTTTTTGCTTCCTCTCATCTCTTCTTTTTGCCACCTCCCCACAAAAAAGCCTCAAGTCTTAAAAAAGTATGAAACCTATGGTTTGTAAGAGGTCAGTCACATAGATGAATTGCCTTATAGTGTTTCTCATACTATTTTGTTTAAAATAGAAGATGCAGCTTTGGAATGATGACCTAAATTGAATGGAAAATCAGACTCAAATATTTAGTACTGAACTCCTTTGCTGGGCAGCAACCCTCCACTTCTAAAATTCCCTCTGCAGTTTGATTGAAGCCCTCTACGTTTTGCTGCACATGGAGGCCAGACTCAACAGTGGGAGGACCTGGCCTATTATTTCACAGATTCTAAAAATCCTAGTTTTCTAAGTATAAATATGAAGTTGATTTAAAAAAAATATAAACCTTGCTACAGAAATGTATTGTCAAAACATCTAGAATTGAGTAAGTTTGTTAACCTTCAAGTATCACTAAAAGTTTGCATGAAGCAAGCAGCAACGTTTAAAAACAAAACAAAACAAAAAACCTTGATAACCTTACTTTTGGTAACTAACCAGTGCAGAGCCTGTTGGTATAATAGAAGAAAAAGAAAGATTAGGAGCACTGGTTTAGTGAGCAAAAAATATTCATTATTTGGTCATATTCTGCCAGCAGATGCTTTTTCTAAAAAAATTTACAGATTCAGTAGGTAGTGACTTTGCTTGAATACCTTAGGAAACAGTCTGTTTGGGTATGGGAAAAATTAGGACCATCTCATTGGATTGCTACAATGCTTCCTGGTACTTTGTATGTGTTGTTAATCACCTAGGAACTAAGTTTGATGGTCAGCTAGGAAGCTTGATCTTTAGAACAGGAAAAATAGAAAACGAAAACATCTTTCCAAGTGTCCTTCAGGCATCCTCACTTAGAGGACAGCCTTGGAGTGGACTTTTCTCAGGTGAGTTAATATTTTGTGTATCTGTGTGTGTGTGTGTGTGTGTATGTGTTTATCCCTGAGAATTAATCATAGCCCATTTCAAAAGATAAAAGCAGATTGCTTTGAGTTATATTTTGAGGGAGTCACAAGCCTGGTCTAGGACGCAGATCTATTTTGTTATTGTAAACTTTGCCTTATATAATCTTGTTGCTCTGGCTTTTCCCCCATCTAGGGGTGAAGCTTGACCCCTTATTCTGCATGCTAGCTGAGGGAGGGCAGGCTTACAAAGCATCAGTGGGAAGTGCACAGGTCTGAATGGCTCGGTAAGCCATTCGGTTTCTCAGAGATCGGAGAATGAGGAAGAGAGCTATGACCACTAGGGAGAGGAGGAGGCCGATGGTAAAAAGGATGACTAAAGCTGCCTTTGCTGCTCTGGGAGCCAGATCTTTGCCGAAGAAATGTATATTTTCCTTATCGATTCCTGTGAAAACAAGAAGTAGTGTCAGCAACTTTTGCATTTCTCTAATGGATTTTTTAAAACGTATATAGAGGTATATGAGAGAGGAATAGCTACCATCAGTAGGCGCAGTGGGAGAGACTGGTTCTTTTTTAGGAGAGGTCTTAGTGGAATAAGGAATCCTGTTGTCTGGAGAAATTAGATAAAGAGAATGTCTTGTCAATGAAAGAACTCTGAATGCTCTGTTTCTTCCCACTCTTTGGGACTAAAATCACTGAGCCTCCCTGCCGTTCCTCAGTAGCTCAGTAGGACACACTTTGGTCATTACTATTAAGACCCTTTAAGAAGCCTATCTTCTCACCCCATGTATTCTTCACATCACATAAGTGATGTATGATCATACCCTTCCAACCTTATCTTACATTATTCCCCTTCATGGGCTGTATGTTTCAGTCAAATTTAACTATTCCTTGTTCCCAAACTATGTGCTTACACCCTGTACTCATGAAATTCACTGTGCCTGAAATGTCTTTCCTCCTCAGACTCTTCCTTTTCAAAAAAAAATCTTTCTTTTAAACTTATTTATATTCTGAATTTGACAAACCAGTTTTCCAGCCAATCCTGGGCCATGTTGCATTGTTGAATAATTGTTGGAGAAAATGTTGACTCAATGTTGCATGATATCTGCTTAGATAAATGAGTTTACTTGATACTACTCATTATTTGTGATGGTCCTTTGTGTAACCTGCATTTGGTGAAAAGAGGCTAAGATGGTGTCTATAAGATTAGGGTTCTCTCCTTTAATTTATAATGACCAGGGAAGCTGTTTTTTTGTTTGGAACCAATTGTGTCCCTACCAGGGCTGGGGAACCTGTAGCCTCAAGGCCACATGTGGCTTTCTAGGTCCTCAAGTGCAGGCCTCTGACTGAATCCAAACTTCACAGAACAAATCCCCCTAATAAAAGATCTAGGGCCTAGACCAACATATTTAGGGAGTCGAATTGGAAATTGAAGGGCATTCGGAAGAGTTGACTTGCCCTTTAGCCCCCAAGAGAATCTGGTGCCATACGTGTTTTTCTTTTGATAAATGAAGAGTAATGCTGCCTTTTCAATGCACACAGTATCCCATCAGCATTTTCTTCACCTGTGTGGAGATACTCATGCAAAATGCTCCAGGATTGGCTGAACACGCAGGTTACACTAGCAAATGAGCATTTCCACAAACAAAAAGAATAGAACATTAAGATGACTGTAAAATATCCTGAATCTCCACCATATATAGCTTGCCTCTTTTCTTCTTTAATGTGTACAAAAATGGAGGTTATTGGTTCCAAAGCTGTCCCATATGTGTTTCCCTCACACCCTGTTCTCTCCCTGCCCTTTGTAATGCTCACTTTGTAACCAATAAGCACAAATCAAACAAGACAAATCCTTACATTGATCAGGTCCAAATGCCTCATTTTGCACTTATAGTTCATCACCTCTCATGAGGTGGGAGGCATATTTCATCATCAGTCCTCTGGAGTCATGGTTAGGCCTCAACCCCCTTTTATATGTTGAATTACTACCCATCCTATAAAGCCTAATTCTAGTGCTGCTTTCTCCAGGAAACTTTCCCTAATAGCTCCAGTGGGTGACAGTTTTTCCTTTCAGATTTCACATAGCCCTTGACTGTGTAGTCATGCAACATTGCCTATTTTAGTTATTTATATTTGTGTCTTATCCCCCCGTTAAATTATAAATTATCTATGAGAGAGAGTCCCAGGACTCATGAAATGTCTCTCTTTCAGTACAAAGTACAATAAGTGCTATGCACACCATCCACATAAATATTGACTACGTTAGATGGTATTAAATATCAATGATTCAGAATTAGCACCTAAGTTCCTGAAAACAGTGTATGTTGTTTCCATGCCCGCGTGGATATGGTCAGTTACGTGACAGTGCAAGAGCCATGTTCCTGGATGATCTGCAATCAGTTCAATGGTCTGAAAGGTCCCAGGAAAGAGGTCATACACATCTTCACGAAAAGATTTATCCGACTGTAGAAACAAAACAAATCCCTGAGTTTCTCTTAGCCTGGCCTCAGTGAGATTAATGCTCCATAAACTCTCCCCACCCACAATATGTCTTCTGATTCTTCTTACTCATCCGTAGACAGAATTGACACCCAGCTGATGGTCATCATAGTATGTAGTAGCAACAGTACTCTGACCATTTCCATTAAAAGTTATCATTTGTTCCCAGCTTTCATTCCCCTGACTTTTAGGTCCAAGAAAGCTTACCTATCTGGAGTAACAGTATTCTAAGGGGTTTCTATTTAAATGGTGCCATTAAATGATTCAAAGTGTTAAGATACTAAGTAAGTTGTTAAGGTGCTTAGCTTTAAAGAAGAATTCCAAGTCAAGTCAAGGCTATTTGGTGTTAGAAGGTAATCCTGAGTGTCCTAGTATCGTTAACACTCCAGGGTAGAACCTCCTCAACAGAGATGGCCTGGTGCATAATGGTATGATTTTAGATGCAGCAGGACAGCTCCATCCAAGTACGTTCAAAACAATTGTCTGCCATGCTCAAGTTGGTACTGGAAATGTCACTTACTAAAGCTTCATTCCATTGATTTAAGGCTTCAGTCCTTATTAAAATTCCTTCCTTTCTATTCCCACTGCAAGCGTCACAGTCTACCAGGGCTTCCTAAACCTCAAATCTGCACCACTACAACAGCCTCCTAATTGACTGCAGTGAGGGGGAAAAAACAAGTACACCCAGTGAGGCTGGACCATAGAGTATTGGCTGGGGAGTAATATCTAAGAAGAACGGAAAGATAAAGAAGGATCAGGTTGGGAAGAACTTTTAAATGCCAAAAAGAAGAGTTTATATGCAATCCTAGCAGTAACAGGGAACCTCTGGAGCTGACTGAGTTGGGAGATTTGTAATATGGTCACTCCTGCACTTTTAGAAAATCATGTTAACAGCTGTGTTGAGGATGGATCACAGTGGAGAGAGGTGAGGTGGACCAATTTAGAGGCTAGTCTAATAGTCCAGACCATAGATGATGAGAGGATGAAGTAGGAGGGTAGCTATGTGAGTAGAAAGAAGGGGGCATATGCAAGAGATGTTGAGATAGAATTAATGAAATTAGATATCTGATTGGACATGTGGGATGAGGGACTATGAAGAGTTGAGAATGACACCACAGTTGTGAATCTGGATCACTGGGAGAATGGTGGTGTCCTGGATAGACATAGGGAAGTTTGGAACAGGAGTGGGTTTTGGTGGGAAGTATAATCAGTTCTATTTTAGATATGTCGAGTTTGTCCCTATATTACACATGAGAAAACAGGTTCATTTTAATTGACTTGTCCATGATCACATAGCTGGTTAGAAGTGGGAGTCAAACTCACATGTCTCCTGACTCCAGGTTCAGAGTTCTTTCTACTGCCATGGTACCATCACGGTGATGTAACATCCTACATGTGAGAGATGATTCTTTCGGTCTCTTCTACCTCTAAGTATCTCTGATCTAAGCAAAGATAAGGAGTTCTTTTTAACTCTTTCTCCAGATTCCCCTCTCTTTGAATGGGTTCATTAATGTTTTCCTGAGGATCATGGATTTTCCATTTCCATATTCGTAAAAAGACTTGGAGCAAGAAGACCATTTCTGCCATACACTAGCTATTATGACCTTGTCTAAGTAATTTCATTTCCGTGGGCTTCAGTTTCACCATCTTGAGAAACAGGGTGATAATATTTTCCTTGTCTACCTTCACAGAGTTTTTATAAGGATCAAGAATAAGATATATGAAAGCATTTTTCATCACTATGTGCATAAAAACTATTCTTTTTTTAACTGGGATATATTACAGAAGCTAATCAGGTAATTTTTTTATAAACATTGTGAAGGTATAAAGTATATGTGGGTCATAAAACACAGTATTAGAAAGACATCATATTTATATGATTATATTCTGTCATCTATGTGAATGTAGAGAGACACTGTGTGTGTGGAAGAGGTAGTGTAGTAAGATGGAAAAAGAATTGAGATTTGGAGTCAGAGGACCTGAATTTAAATCTCTACTTTGCCACTTATTACTTATCTGACAAGTAATTTTCCCTCTCAGGGGCCCAAGTTTCCACCTCTGTATAATGAGAGAGTTGAGTTCACTTCTAAAGTCCCTAGATCTTAAGATCTCATAAACTATAATGCATCACAAATAGTATGAAATAACCTCTGTTTCATGGTGAAAGTAAATTAATTCTGTGCTGTGTAGTCTCCACAGAAACATTAAGCATTTGGGACTCATTTGGCTTTTACTTACCTTGAAGAGAAAACTTTCTGCATGAAAATGGACGGTATGTATGTCAATTTCATTTCCTATTCCCAGAAGGTACCAGTTTGTCATCGTATTTTCATTCATTATTAAACCATGGAGATTTCCAAAGATCTTCCCATTAATCGCTGGGGAGAGGAATGGCTATTCATTAGTCTAAGGATATTCATTATTTAATCTATCTTTGAGCAAGCAACAGCTTTGGGCCAAAAACATTTTCATTGGGGGCAGCTAGGTGGTGCAGTGGATAGAGCACTGACCCTGGATTCAGTAGGACTTGAGTTCAAATCTGACCTCAGACACTTAACACTTACTAGCTGTGTGACCCTGGCAAATCACTTAACCCCATTGCCTAGCCAAAAACAAAACAAAAACATTTTCATTGGCCTTCTAGATTTGGAATAATCTCTCCCATATTTATAAATATTCCTGCTTACCAACTCAGACCTGCCCCATATATGTCACTAGTCTGAAAAAAAACCAAAAACATCAAGCACAACTCCACATCCTGATTGATATGAACTCTTAATAACGAATGAACAATAAAGTATTTATTAAGTTATTTTGTTCAGTTGTTTTTCATTTGTGTCCAATTCTTTGTGACTCCATTTGGGGTTTTCTTGGCAAGAATACTACAGTGGTTTGCCATTTCCTTCTCCAGCTCATTTGACAGATCCGGAAACTGAGGCAAAAGGAATTTAGTGACTTGCCCAGGCTCACATTCTAGTAATTGTTTAAGGCCAGAGTTGAACTCAGGAAAATGAGTCTTCCTGACTCCAGGCCCAGCACTCTATACACTGTGCCACCTAGCTGGCCTGTTAATTAATTACTATAGGCCAAGCTGTGTTCTACATGCTGGGAACATAAATACAAAAGACAGATCTTGCCCTATAAGAGTTTATATTCTAAAGGGAAGTGGTGGCCAGAGAGAGATATGTAGTTTGCTAAATTATAGGAATGATGAATGGAACAAAAAAGGAAACCACTGGAAAGGTACAAGCTCAAACTTTCTAACCTCAAAGGTTAGATTTCAAACTATTATACCTCAATGAGCCCCTCAAAGAAACCAGGCAATCCTTTCTTCATCTTTAACTTAATACCAACTAAATTCCCCACAGGGAAAGTTCCAAACCTTGAACACTCTCTGAAGCTCCTAACCCCCACTCCTCCCTCTTCTGAAGGTCTGTCATATGGAGAAAAGCTTACTGTGCTTGGCTATAGATTAGGCTCATTCTGCTTAGCCTCAGAAAGTAAAACTGGTAACAAGGAGTAGGAGTTACAGGAAAGCAAATCTAATTTAAAATAAGGAAAAACTTCCTAACAATGAGAGCTGTCCAGCAATGGAATGGACTGCTCTCTACTCCAAGTCTTTAGTCAGAATTTATGGGTACTTATCAGGGATGGTGTGAAGGGTATTTATAATCCTGGGGGAGTTGGGCATTAGGTCTTCCTTTCCAACTCTTAGGTCTGTGATTCTAAATGCTGCGATAATTTCCCATGCCCTGGAGAAAAACAACCTTCAAGGGAGACCAGATAGGAGCTGTTGCCTAAACTTAGATGGATATGTAAAGATACATGCCTTCATGTATCTTCGATGTAATTTCATGTAATTTGAATTTAAAAAAAAAATACTGCACAGTCTATCACATGTTAAGGATGTGTTGGTATTCAGAAATAGAATACCGTAAGTTGAATCGGTGCCTCAGTGATTTGATTCTGCCAACTCACCAAAGGCTAACCAAAGTGCTATGTTGAAAGAGGAATGGAAAACTTTTTTTAGATGTCCTTTTGGAAAGAGGGGTGGGGCAAGATAAGGAAGACAGTCACCAAATCTCAGAGTATGAAGGGATTTTGGAGGCCATCTAGTCCAATCTACAGCTGAATAGATCCCCTCTACAACATAACCAACAAGTGGTCATCTAGCTTTCTGTCTAAAGACCTTGAATGGGGGGAAGCTATTACCTCTTAAGACAGCCCATTCCATTCAATGGACAACTCTAAACATGAGGAACTTTTTCTTTGCTTCTTCTATCCTTGATAATAAGTCTAAATCAATTTCTCTTCCACTTTTACCCGTTGCAACAGACCAGGGACTTTCAGTAGTTAGAGAGATTCCACTAGTGATACTTTTGATCTGACCTTTTCATGTCCTTGGCCCAACCCTTACATACCATGCATTTTGTTGCTTTCCACAAAATCGTCTGTGTGCTTAAATTTTCGGGGATCCTTATTGAGATACTTTTTGATATTTTCATCCAGATACCAGGATTTGTTTTCATTAAACACCAAAAACAGAAGGGCAAATTCATAGTCAATATCACTTCTTAGTCCCTTTTCATTCAGCACTCCTTCTCTACAAGTTATCAAAGGACCCATCAAACCGCTGTACGTATCCTGGAAGGAAAAGAGATAATAGTGAGAGGTATATTTAAAAGAACCATTTAGCTCTTTAACAATTTTAATAAAAGACTCTGGAAAATACATTAAGAAAAATTTTAATTATTTGAGATAGCCATGTTAATAAACCATATCTCATAAACCCAGGGCCTGAAATAGAATTAGTGCAGAGATTATGTCTCAAAATTTATTTTGTATCCCTGACTATACCTAACACAGGTTAATCTTCTATTGAATGAACTTGCCCCAGATCCCAGAAGACAGAGCTACATAATTTAAATTTTATCACTTTCTTACAGACCTGAACCACAGCTTTGGTGCATAGAGACTAAATATTTACAATACTAGCCATCCATGATCTGAAATGGAAGTTGAGATAATTCTTAATTTTAGCTATGCTGACAAATACTGAAACTTTCTGTTGAATCTGGCTTTAGCTTGAGTTCCTGTAATAGCACATATGTAATGTTTGTGGTTATCTCACTTTACTACCTCAAAGGACTCATGATTTCATCAATTAAAGTATTCCCTCCACTGACACAGATTGTTACTCCTCCGTGAGTTACTCTGGCCAAAGAATTTGTCACCTGCTGACCAGGACTCTCTGAACTTGGCTGATCACAGGATGTCAGAAAAGCAGTCTATTACAAGGCCTAAACTTGGAACCTTTTCCAGGCTGGTAGATGCTGCTAGGGTTGGGTTCTGAAGGCAGCCAGGTATAGTGGAAAGAGCACTGATCCTAGAGTTGGAAAACCTAGGATCAAGCCTCTACTGACTGCTAGTGTGTATCCCTGGGCAAGACACTTTACCTGGGTCTTAGCATCCTCATCTGTAAAACAAAAGGGTTGGGCTAGATGGCCTCTGAGGATCATCCCAGCAGGCAGGGAGGAAAAGAAATCTATGATCCTTTGGGAAACCAGAGTTAATCCCATGTTACAATGAGCCATAAGAGGAGGACTTTAGTGGAGGCATGGACAGAGATGTGAATCAAATATAACCTCATGTCCTTAACATTTATTTAACCTTTATTTTATGAAATCACAGGAACCTCTTCAGACATTTTAATTTTTTTGTGGGGGAGTGGGGTATCTGATGCTGGTCTTAGAGTCAGGAAGACTTGAGTTTTAGTCCTGCTTTAGATGCTTACTAGTTATGTGAACTTGGAGGAGTCATTTGACTTCTCTAAACCTCAGTTTCCTCATCTGTAAAATGGGAACAATAATAATAGCACTGACTTCACAGAGTGATTGTGAGGATCAGATGAGATATTTGTAAAGCCCTTTGTAAACTTTAGAATACAATACGATTGCCTAGTAGTAGTAGTAGTAGTAGCAGCAGCAGCAGCAGCAGCAGCAGCAACAGTAGTAGTAGTAGCAGCAGCAGCAGCAGCTACAGTAGTAGTAGTAGTAGAGCCTTAGCTTCATCCGCCTCCTCAGCAACTTTGTGTTTGCGTGAGTTCCTAACCCCAACTGCCTTCCAGCCTGTTTTTATGCTTTGTCTTCCCCTATTAGAAAGTAAACTCCTTGAGAGCAGACCTCTCCTTCATTTGTATCTTCACTGCGTGGTCCAGAGGTTTGCAAACTTATTTGGCCCAACTTCCTCTTTAAAAAAATTACTCAGTGCCCCCTTGGAAATCTACTTTCTTTAACATGTTAACAGTTTTTTAAAAATTTGTATAATTTCAAAAATATATAAAATATATTTTTAAATGATGCATCTTAAATTTAATAATTTATTGTAAATTGGTGTTTTTTTCTGCATGGAAAATTTGATGATGCAATATTGCACCATGTAATGGTGTAGTATCATATTATAAACAAGTCATTACACACACATATTCCTGCCCATCCATGCTGGACTTCCCGACAATGCAGGACATGCTTGCCTGCCAACGCTTACTGGTTAAGATCAGTCGTGGACTTGACCACTGATTCGTTATAACTTGCATTTTGTTCATTTATTTGGAAAATAGTGTAATACCTATCTCAAGGGCTTGTTATGGGGATTAAATGAGATAACAAGTGCGTGCACTTCAAACCACAGAGTGCAATATAAATGCTATTTATATCTGAAAAATTAGGGGGCTAGACTTTGATGATCCTTTGATGGAAGGTCCCTTCCAGTTCTGTATCTATGATCCTGTGGCCTGATGAGGAATAGTCCACAGAAATAGTCTTTGAAAATGCAGGGTCATCTCCATTTCAGAGTGAGGCATGCAGGTAGGGCTTTATCAAAAGAAAAGATTTGGGGCAGCTAAGTGGCACAGTGGATAGAGCACTGGCCCTGGAGTCAGGAGGACTTGAGTTCAAATATGGCCTCAGACACATAACACTTACTAGCTGTGTGACTCTGGGCAAGTCACTTAACCCCAATTGCCTCACCAAAAAAAAAAAAAAAAAGAGGATTAACAATTATTTGCTGGCAAAAACACTTCTCACCACTACTGGAAAGCAACTCAAAGAACATGTGCTGTTAACAATGATTCAATAGGGTCATTTCTGTAGAGGAAGAGCAGTATTTCTTCTAAGAATGAATATATTTTCAACAACAAAATTAGCGTGATTAAGATAGCATCTTGAAATAAGAATTACAAGCTGTTAACAGCTACATGACAGATTTTTTTCAACCCTCTAATATTAGGAGAAATAGAAATCAAATCACCTCTGTGGTTTTAACTTATACCCAGAAAATTGGCAAAGATGACAAAATATAGGGAACAGTCAATGCTGGATAGCTTGTGGAAAGATAGGCACACTAATATACTGCTGGTGGAGCTGTAAATGGATCCAACCATTCTGGAAAGCCATTTAAAACTATGCTTATAAGGTAACTAAAATGTTCATACCCTTTGAGATCCTACAGCAAGGCATATGCCCTAAGAAGGTCAATGACAAAAACAAAGGTCTCATGTATACCCAAATGTTTATAATAGCACCTTTTGTAGTAGCAAAGAGCTGGAAACAAAATAAATGTCCATAGATTAGGGAATTGTTAAACAAACTGTTTTAAACGAATGTAATGGGATATTACTCTGGAACGGAATGGAGTAGGGAATCATTAATATGAAGGCTATAGAGAAGCATGAAAAGACATAGGACCTGCTGAGAAGGAAAGTAAACAGAATCAGGGAAACAATATATGCAATGACTACAACAACATAAATGGAAGAACAATAGCAAAAAAATTCAGAACTGAAAAATGTGAAATTATGATGACCAAGAAGAGATACTAGACTTGGGTGCAGAACACTACATATACTTGGTCTTGGAGCTGATTAGTTTTGCTGAACAGTATTTTTTTGTCATTTAAAATGTTTTATTATAAAGGATAACTTTCTGAGAGAGAGAAGGTCAGGGACATATAGGGAAATGAAGGTAATGAACATATCAATAAAAATTTAAATAAAAAATTAAAATGGCAGTGACTGTTTGTGGACGACAGCTTTTGTCGATGAATTTCTCTTAGTTGAACAACGACTGACTACAGGCATACCACTCTGAACCCAAACAGCAACACTTACCAATCACTTAAGTAGCACAAAATTTCAGCAACAACTTTATATTTATTTCAATTTCTCTCTATATTATTTTTGATATTCTAAGAAGCCCCAAACTTGACAGTTAAAGCGTTAGCCTTTGTTTTTTCTTTCTTCAATCTTTTACACTATGAATGACATAGTCCTTCACCTTGTACCTGGTGTCACTGTTTGAAGGATCAAGTTAAAGGTATTTTTTTTTACTTTACTGCATGCATGCAAATATCATATTACTGCTCCATGTTACCTTCACAAAATTTGCTGTTGAGTAGTAGGCCCAAGGGATACAATTTGGGTCAGAGGGTCCTGGCCCAGATCTTTTAGGGATATTCCACTGGTATGTTTTTACTTCTCCTGAAACAAATAAAAATAAATAGAAAGACTTTGTAACTTTTACCCTTGGGTCAAGGCCACTTACTTGAAGTATCCAAACATGTAATTATACATATTAGTCCCGATAGGATAATGCCTTTTAATTATAGACATAGCTATCAGGTCTCTACTGTCCACATTTTGATTCTTTACTTTGTGGAGTCTTCATGGCAAAGTTTCAATCTCAGGCAGCTTTCCCCTCCGCAATCAATCACAGTTATGTGACACATTTCCCCTTTTGCCCCCAAAATATCTTTTTTAAAGAAAGATATTAATATATGGCTGTCATTGACTGTCATAAGAAAGACAATTGACATGACTGTCAAGTCATATCATATTTGCTCACTATAATATTCATTCTTTCATTAGTTATTAACCAGAGTTGATTTCCACCTGTCAGGAACACTCACTTTTCCAAGAGCTTATAAGTGTGAGGTCTTTGGTTTATGAGAGAAAGCCAAATGACCATCATTTTATTAATGATCTGTTAGCCATAATTAATAAAATTGATTATTAATTACCCAGAAACTATATCTCTTGAACTTTTCATTCACCGCAGTTGAAATCATTTAGAATTGAGTGTATTTGCGATAGAATAAGTAGTTCTTTTCAAATATCGAGGTGAAACATGGTATACCAGAAAGAACTGCTGGGCCAGGACTCAGAAGACCTAGGCTGATGATCAGCTTCTGCCACTAACAACCGTGTGACCCTGAACAATTCACTTAACCTCACTGAACCTCAGTTTCCTAATTTATAGACTAGGGTTAATATTTGATCTACCTCAAAAAGTTGCTCTGAGTGTCAAATACACTAGAGGTAATAGTCACATAAAGTGTTAAGCCAATATCACTTTATATCTATATCTATATATCTATATCTACATCTATATCTATATATATCCACCTTTCCTAGCTATAACAGATAAAAATTTTGAACCCAAACTTAAAATTTCAGAATGAACCACCTGAGTCCCATGCCCACCGTTTTTGATAGACATCATTTCATGGGTGAAGCAAGCTTCTGGTGAGGAAATTTACTTTATCTATTCAGGTCAGCAATTGTACTACAATTTATGGTCTTAGAGATGTGCCAGTATTAAGAGGCAAGGTTCAAGAGGTTAAATGACTTTCCCAGAATCACACGGCTGGTTTATGTCAGAGGCGGGACTTTAATGTCGGGTTTTCTGGCTCTGAGGCTGATTCTCCATCTACACCATGCTTTCTCTTTGTTAACTGCATAATAAAGAGTTCTCCTGTTTTCCTGCAAAACTGGGAACTATTTGAGTAGATAGAGAGAATAGAGTAGCAACTTGTAGGAACTAATCCCTCACCTCTGAATTTAGTCTTGTATCCATTGTTTTCAGCATTCTTCCCCCTCCCCAGCTCTCCTCATTTGGCCCACATGTCCACTTCCCCATTACTGTGATTTCTAGTCAGTCTTTGGGGGCCCCTTCCACCTCAGGACTCCCAAGCTTTGCATCTACCCTTGAGCCATAACCACATTGATGAGCCCTATGAGGAAAAGACTGGTTCTCCAGATTTTCATAAATCCCTCCAGCATCACTGTAAGAGAGGGATGAAATACACTAAGAAGTTTATATGCCTGGAGACAACAGACCTTGTCCCCATTCCACCACTGCACCCAACTAGTCCAGAACCCTACCCAGTGCAACTCTAAAATAGTCACTTAAGGGAAGGTGAGGTCATCTAAACCAGACTTGTCAAACATGTGGTTTACTTACCACAGCAACCTACAGTGCCCAAACCAGATTAAAATGTAACTGGGAAATATTTAACAAAATGAATAAGAACACAATACAATATACAGAAGTTAATTTGTGCTTTTCTAAATCAATGAGTGGCCCCCTAGGGATCCCTGCATGTGGTTTCTACTTGAATTTTCACCACTGTTCTAAAGCATTGCTACTACAAAAAACATTCAGGGATGTGAGTGAAGGAAGAGTTGTTACCTACTCCTACAGTTACTCTCCCAATACCCTTGTGAAAGGCCATTGTTCTCGTTGTCCGACACCACACTGCAATTCTCTGTGCTCTCCCTACTTCCTAAATAAATCCTACCAATCCTTTAAGGATCCTTTGAGCGCCTTTCTCCTCTATGAAGAGGCAATATTATGGTAATAGGAAAAACACCAGAGTTGGAAGGGAAACACCTCCTCATCCTGCAACTTCTTATCTGTGTGACCCACCTTGAGTAAATCACTTAACATACACGGGCCTCTGTTCCATCCTATGTAAAACAAGAGGGTTGGACTCAGTGGGCTCTAGCTCTAAATCTATCATCTCGTGGCCTTGTGATTCTATGATCCTTGTTGTGCTTCTCACTGTGTGGCTCTGGCCAATTCACTAGGCCTTTCTGGGTCTCAGTTTCTTTATCTGTAAAATGGGGAGGGGGGATATTGATTAGGTGATCTCTAAGGTACCTCCCAGCTGTAGGCTTTTAGAGATAATGCAATCAAGGGTTCCCCAACTACTCCAGCCCTCATTTATCTCCCTCTTCTCCTAACTCTTATGTCAGTTCAGCATTCCTTCAGTAGCATAAGATTCAGCGCATGATTATGCTGCTTTGCATGGTTATTTGAATGTTTCCTGGGTATTTTCTGTGATCCTCCAACCAAATTGGAAGCTTCTTGATAAAGCCTAGAACTGAACACATAGGAGGAACTCAGTAAATACTTGCTGATTAATTGATTCATTAGCTATCTTATATTTAGAGTAATTATTGAGCTCCTAGGTGATGTACAAGAGACTGCTAGGCCTAGCATTGTCTTTAGGCTGTCATCAGAGCTTGAGATATCCCTTACCTGGCATTGTGATTGGCACTGCAAATTTTTCCCCACTAATCACATCTTCTACACCATGGGCTGATATGGAGTAGGGTCTGGTAGCTTTGTTCTTAAATACAATAAGGATGGTGTCACCGACTTCTGCACGAATCAATGGGCCTAAGGTAAAACAGTAGAACCGTGATTACCGTTGCTCTTCTCAACATTCACACACTTAGCATTTAGGAAAGGTTTAACAAAGCAACATTGGGAACAAAGTCATAGAAGCTTCAACTTTAGATTTATTCTCTGAATCTTAAATGTTGTTTACAAATGAACTTCAACAACCCTATCCAGCTGGGGTGGATTTTGTCCCTCCCCACCAGTGAGATGAGGCCTAGTGCAAATTGTCTAACTTCTCAGTGCCTCAGCGTGTCCATCTCTAAAAGGCACCTATCTTCCTAGCCCATTAACTTGTTGTAAGCATCCAGTGAGATAATTTGTATGAAAATTCTTGGAAAAGAAGAAAAGTATGATTCAAATGAGAAACAGTGTGATACAAGGGAAAGACAGATAGAGTTAGAAGCCCTTGCTTCAAATTCAAGCTCTGCTACTTGCTACGCAGGTGATAATAGGCAGGGCGCTTACCTCTCTGGGCCTCAGGATCCTCAGGTTAAACGAGGGGATTTGACTAAATGACCTCTCAGGTATCTTACAGCTCAAAGAATACTCTTTCCAATATTCATGTGGATCTGTGATCACTCTCATCAAGTCAAATCTTTCCTCCAACAATGCAAACCCCATCCTGGGCATGTCTGCCCATCCTGTGAAATCCTTCACCATGTTCTCCCAAAAGGTCACCACACTGGGTTCACCCAATATGCTGGAGGCCTTCTTTGATTTCTCCTGATATCTTGAGGGTGCTAGTGGAGCCTGGTCATCTGTCCATCATCCCTTGCTCATCACATATGATCAGCCCAGCTTTTCTTTCTATCATGCTAATGTGACCCTGGGCAAGTCAATAACCTCTGTTCTCCTCAGTTTCCTCAACTTCAGAATGGGGACAATAATAGCACCTACACTGCAAGGTTGTGGTAAGGATCAAATGAGATAATAAATGTAAAATGCTCAGCACAGTGCCTGGTACATAGCTAGTACCACATAAATGTAAGCTGCCATATTGTGGTTATGATTATTCCTTGGTGATATCCCTTACTTTTTGGAGTTCTTTATTGGTCATATTTGCAGCCTTGCTTATACCTGCTATCCTTGATTCCATTGCCCTCTGCACGATCTTTTAGTACTTCAGCAGCAGGGCTCTTCCAGGTCTTGTTAGCATATAGTTGCTCTAGTAAAATGTTTCCATTGAAAAGTTGGGTCATTGTTTTCATTGGAAAGCTTGAGATCAATAACAGAGCTTTGCAATTTCCTATAAGTAATACAGTCCTTTCTCCTCCTTTTCAACTCTGACCCCAGTTCATTGTCTGCCTGAACTGACTTTTTCAGATAGGATAGATAGATAGATGGATGGATAGATAGATAGATAGATAGATAGATAGATAGATAGATAGATAGATAGATA